CTTTTGTGCAGAGCTATTTTCTAGCCAGGAGGTCCCCATCTGAGCTACTGAATCGGTTTATCTGTCAGTCAAGGTCTGTCTTACCTTTGACTTCTTAAGGTTCCTGTCATCCAGCTTCTCTGTTGTGCTGAAGTTTCCCTGAATACCAACTTACCTTTTTCCCCAACTTGGTTTCACTTGCATACTTGCTGAGGGTGCTCCCCATCAAGCTGTCTCTGTCACTGGTAAAGATGTTAAGCGGAATTGGCTTGTAATAAGCTGTGAGTTAGCCTTTGAACCTTCAGCCACAAACTTTAGAGCTTGGTGGTACAGACAGTTTTTCATATAACACAGCACTTGTCTAGTTGGTGTCTTCCCAGTTAAACTGCAAGTATATTAAGGGTGACTGTGTTAAAAGCCTTGCTCAAACGAAAGGAAAATTTTGTTTTCCCCAAAGCCAGTCATTCTGTGCTAAAAGGCAGTCAGGTTAGTCAGTAATGATTTGCTATTGCTAAATCCATGGTAGCTGTTCCCAGTCACCTTTTTACCATTCATGAGCTGGAAATGGTTTCTGTCAGGATTTGTTCTGTCATCTTCTCTGGGACTGAAATGAATCTCACAGATTGTTGTTCCCCGGATTGTCCTGCTTACCTGTTTTAAAGATGAGTGTAACTTTTTCCTCCTCCAGTCATCATGACCTGTCAAAGGTGAGAGGGTGCAGCCTTCCAGGGATCTTGGCCTGTGCCTTCTGCACATCCAGATGAATCCTGTCTTGTCCCTTCTACTTATATGCATCTAATCTGTGTAAGTAATCATTAAAGTAGTCACCTTTTACTAATGAGAAGCAGTTTGAAAGAGAGAAACTACTAGGCAGAGAGACGTAGGGTGCTTGAGAGCAGACCTTGCCAGTGAAGACTGAAGCAAGAGAGATTCTGAGTGCTCAGTAATTTCCTTGGCTTGCATTATGAGCTCTCCTGCCCTGTTTAGTAGTGAGCCCCCATTCTCCTTGCCCCCTTTTGCATCTGACATATCTGCAGGAGCTCTCTGTTGCCTTTCCTGTCCCTTGCGTGTTTCTCATGCCTTTCAGGAATTCCAGCTAAGCTGTGCCCTTTCTATCTCCCTCCCTGTATTCCTCCTCTGTTCCTCCCAGGGAGCCTATCCCTGCTGAGACCTTCTGTACATGGATTTTTAAGTTTGAGCTCATTCAGGGGTTACCAATTCAGCTAAACTTACCTCTTGCCTTGCCTCCTTGCTTTCTTGCACACTGTTTGTATGCTTTAGAGGGGTTGTCTTTCAGGTTCAACCATCTCTCCTGAGTCCCTTGGCATTTAAGGAAATTCTTCCACAGGATACCACTTAACGAGGTTGTGAACAAGCTAATACTGCTGTTCTGAAATCCAGAATCTTTATTCTATTTGCCTTCCTTGCTTTCCTCAGTATTTTAAATTCTTATAACACCTCATAGTCATTCTGGCTAAGTCTGATGGCAAACTTAGCCAGAATGACTTCATAAAACTTCAAATGTCATCTTCCTAGCCATTTTTTCTTTAATTTGTACTACATTCAACAGTGCATCTTGTCTACTTAAAGGAATGCCTGCAGGAAAGAATTCTTTGATGCTCTCCAGTTGACCTGTTCCTGCTGTTCTGCTCTTCCAGCAAATGTCTCAAAGTTTCCCATGAAAAAAAGCTCTGTAATTGTGAGGCTGGGCAGTCTGTAGCATATGCATGCCTTTGTATGTCCCTTGTTTACCTGCCCTGTGGTTGTGATTCACAAGCCTTCATCCTTGACTCCTTGTATCAACATTGTATTGTTTAAATAATGGTAGAACATCTTGAATGTTTTCCGAAGGTGCTAGACAGTAAACTAGTGTTAAAATGTATTTGTACCCAAGAGGAATATCAGATTACTCCCCCTCCCTGCATTACTTGGGACAAGTCATTTTCTCTTTCTTTGCTTCCCAATGTCTCAAACCGTTAAATCTCTGTAGTAGAGACTGTCCCATACATCAGGCCAGTGTGTACTCTGCCCTACTAATTATAGCAAATTATAGTAAACAAAAAAAAAAAGTATAGTAAAGATGGCTGATATGCAAGCATTGCTACCTTCCAAAGATTGCAGGCATCACTGCACTAGTATTGCTGAATGTACCCAGTATCCTGGCTTCATGAAAGCTGAGATTTGGTGATACAGAAAACATGCAAGTCCTTCTCAATGGCAAAGTAGGATGGCCATGTCCTCATACACCAAAGGAAGACTGAAGGAAAGTACGTTACTGAAAACAAGTGTATGTTTGTACAGGATTCTCTTTTTACCAGGAACATAATGATTTGGGGCATGACAGTGCAAAAGATCATACTCTAATTTATTCTGCCAAGTGTAAGGATTTTGAATTTCTTTGAGTTAACAGCAGTAACCCAGTTAGAACAACAGAGCAGGATGAAGGCAAAAGGAATGTAGATTAATGCATGATGAAAACAAAAATTTAAATGACCTGTTCAAATTACTTATACATGCAGAAAGACAAAACATTTGTTGTATTTTTCAGTCAGAAATAATTTTTATATACTCTTGAATAACTGGCAGTTGCTTCATTTAGTATCAAGTTAAGTCAAGCCCTATATTCTTTTTGTAGTATTTAATAGGGCTTCCTTTTTGGGTTTACAAACCAATGGAGGTTCTCCGTGCATTGTGTGCTTTTCTCTGTATCTTCCCTGTAGGAATGCCCATTTTTAGGCTCAAGTATGTGCATGAAGACCTTAATTAAGAAAAAACATTTTTCTAAACTATCCTGCTTGTAATTTTCAGTCATTTCTAACCGTGGCATTTCCACCCCACTCCTACTTCTCTGACTTTTACATTACAAGTATCTAAAAGCTACCTTTTGACAAGTTGTTCACATACATTTTCTGCTGTGAGAACTGTGCTGCCTATCTTAAGTAGGTTTAAGTAGTTTTTGGCACTAGCCAAACAACTTCCGGTTGCTAGTGGCTATAGATGAGACAATAAAAGTACAATTGGCTTAATTAATGCCATTTTGAACCTACTGCTGTGATCAGTTGGTCATGTTTATACATGTACTTATTCTGACATAAAATACTACTGAAATAAAAGGACCTTCAGTGGACAAACAGGATTTGCAAGATCCATCCCTTGCTACTATCACTAATATCAGTAGTTAAGCCTTGTTTTAAACAAGACTGGATTTACTTTGATTTCTAGATTAGTGCAGGTGGCATTGAGCAGAACATTTAATGTGTCACATTGATTTTCCCTGTAATGCTGTTGAAACACAAATCACTGCTCTAATCATTTGTTTTACCATTAAAATTCTGTATGCAGATCTGGTCCCCTAGGACATCCGTGTGTAACGAGATCTAATCAGGTTCTGCAAGGAATATGCTATTGCTTCAACACTTAGCTGTAGAAAGCTTCATCACAATGGGAAATTTATACAATATTTAAAGTAAATTGTAGTTCAAAGAGACAACCATGAAAAGCAGAGGTGTGCAAAATTTTAAGACATTGCTCAGATTAAATAAAGCCAAATTCAATCCAGAGTCTTAGGATGATTTGTCGTAGCTCCATTTATTTTTAAAGAAGAAAGTGTTGTATCTGTCACTTCAGCTTATAGAGTTTTTTCCAGTTCAGTTAAAATAGCATTGCCATCGGAAATGACTGACTAGCAGGACCTCATTTTTGTGATACTTAATTGCCACAGCATACGTGAAAGTAATTTTGAAAACCCAGGACAACCTACAAAAGCAGCAGTAGCAGGCCAGACTTGTGCTCTGAAACTCATTTTGGTGCTAGGAGTTAGATCTCAGAGGACCTAGTCCTACAGTCTATTTCAGACATGCAGGTCTTGCTGACCTGGATAGAGGTTTGCAAGTGGTGTGACATAGGCTGAGGAGCAGCTGCTTGCTGTGGTGAGTCTGACCAGAAGCATCCTCTCCGGCTGGGACAGGGGGAGTGCAGCTCTGCCTGCAGCTAGACAATATTTCTGTATATACTGCCAGATTTCAGCATGAGGTATTTTGAAGGTTAGTGGTAGTCAAGGGTGATGAGCAACTCCTAGAGTCAGCTCATTTCTCCATAAAACAAGTCCCTTACAAAGGAATTAGCTTGTGTTTGAAGATGTCCTTAGTTCTATTGGCTGCTTTCATGTAAATGTCTAAACACTCAGCAAAATAAGTTGATTTTTTGTGTGTGTGGTTGTTGATTTATTCTTAATGGCCATACTCTTGAGATGCAGAGAATTTTGCATAGCAAAGCACCTTACATATTTGTATTCAGCTGTTATGTTGTGGAAAATGATAACTTCTGTATGTAGACATGTGAAGTAGTGCGTCTAATTCTTGTCAAGAGTATGATGTGGAGTTTCTGTATTTTATCTGTGGAATGCAGTGTTCTCCTTGTCTCTATTTGCAGCAAAGGAAAAAGAGAAATCCTAGAGGTAAATTTAAGACTGAAAACAGCACTCAGTAACCTTGCTGATGACCAGATGAGACCTGAAATAAAGAGATCAGACAGGTTACATGTCCATGGTTTTTTTCAGCTTGTATTTTAGCTGTCTATAAAGGAGGGAGGGTGGTGTTGTTGGTTTGGTTTGTTGTGGTTTTTTTTCCTTTGGTTCTGCAAGCTAGATGGTGCATGATTTGGTGTGCAGGGCCACACTCGCCTTGTAGGCTCTAGGGATTTATTGTGTGACTAGCTTTGCTGGGGTTACACTAGGATTGCTTTGATATTCAGAGCCTGCTGAATTCAGTGATCTTTAACGGCATAAGAAAAAACTGGAAGAGAGTAAGGGAGTGCTTAGAAAAACAGTGAAACAGGCACCGCCTTTCCTTCAAGTTCCTGTGATCGGGTAAACGCTGCCAGACAAATGTAGTGTATTGAGAAAAAGGACATGGGAGGAGTCCGTTGGTGTTGGTACATGTCAGAAATTATTAAGAAAGAATCACTAATGACTTTTAATATATGAATACAATATTAATTGTTTTCCTCTGTTGTGTTTTTAGGGTCTCATGACTCATTTAGCTTCTACATCGATGAAGCCTCTCCAGTTGGGCCTGAACAGCCAGAGACGGTCCAGAACTTTGTGTCTGTTTTTGGGACTGTGGCGAAAAAGCTGATGAGGAAGTGGTTGGCTACACAGACCATGAACTTCACCAGCCAGCTGGGGGCAGGTATACGATATTTTGATCTTAGAATTTCCACCAAGCCCAGAGATCCAGACAATGAACTCTACTTTGCCCATGGTTTATTCAGTGCCAAAGTCAAGGAGGGTCTGGAAGAGATCAATGCATTTCTTGCTGACCACCCAAAAGAAGTGGTCTTCTTGGACTTCAATCACTTCTATGGGATGCAGAAATACCATCATGAAAAGCTTGTCCAAATGCTCAAAGACACATACGGAAACAAAATGTGTCCTGCTATATTTGCCCATGAAGTCAGCCTCCAGTACCTGTGGGAAAAGGAACACCAAGTGCTGGTGTTCTACCACAGTCCAGTGGCTCTTGAGGTACCATTTCTTTGGCCAGGCCAGATGATGCCAGCTCCCTGGGCAAACACAACAGATCCGGAAAAACTGATTCAATTCCTCCAGGCATCAATCACTGAAAGGAGAAAGAAAGGCTCCTTTTTTATATCTCAAGTAGTGCTGACACCAAAGGCTAGCACGGTGGTGAAAGGGGTTGCCAGTGGTCTCAGAGAAACGATCACAGAAAGGTAAGTCTCTGGCAGGTAATGTGCTGACTGTGCTGAATGTGTATGTTGGTAATGCTGCTTTTCTAATCCTTTTTAAAGAAACTGCAGCAGATGTGGTTCTTCCATACTACTGTGGGTTAGTCAGAACTTGAGCGTAATCCTAAAATATTTAAAGAGAAATACGCTGAGAGAGAAGCTTTTGCATCTTGAAAGAAAATCTGGCACTAAAGCCTAATGACATCTACAGGATTGGCTTAGCCTTATATTTTTCTTCTTTGAGTGCAGGTTTTTCCATTTGTTTAGTTTTTCAGATGTAGTTTCCTTCCATAAACACTAGATGCCTTACCTCAGATTTCCTTACTAGATGTGGACAAAATTAAGTCAATGCTTTAGAGCGTTTAAGTTTTCATTTGTGCATCAAGCTTCAGGTATTGGTGAATAATTATTTAATTTTAGCTCATCAGCAAATCCTGATGCTGCAGAATTCACATCCTTAACTACCTTTACACACCTTAAAGATGCATGTCCTTTCTCTCTACATACTATCACACATTATGTCAAGGATATCAGGACCTAACAGGCCTTCGTTATTCATACAGGAAAGAGATTGTAGACCATTGTGAGATTCTGTACATGGAATACTGCGTTGTTAGGCCATTAATTGTTACATTACAAAAAAAAAAAGCCTTCTGTATAAGACATGCATTATTTATACCATTCTGACTTTGATAAATCATGGCTCATTTTCTGTTTAAAGGCATGTATGTGTGACTGTGTTCTTGAAAACTTGGTAGGAAACCTGAAATTTCGTGCCAAGACATGAGCTATTTTTTCCCCTCTAAAAAAAAATCAAAAGAACCAAAAAAAGAAAGGAAAAAAGAAAGGAAAAAAGACCCCAAAAAATGGAAAAAAAAAAAAAAGGAAGGATTGCAGAGTGTGGAAAATTTATAATGGGGATCAATGGCCTGATAATGTTCTGCTTTCTGCATGGCTGTGCCTCTGCCAGGAAGGTCTGTTGGGAACACTGTCCCCTTCTATGAGATGAATGATGCAGCACCTGTGACACTGGAACCTGCAAAGAAAACATGCCTCATTTTTGAGAAAGATTGGGCCATTTTTTATGGCAGCTTTCCCAAGCAACCGTTAACTTGAAAACACAGGGAAAAACTTTACCTGAAATGGTGAAACACCGACACAGACAGTTTTATAAGCAGTGAAATATGATTCAGAAGTGCTTGTGCGACTGCACTTGCAGCTTCTAGTATATCCTCTACATCTGTTTTTATAGGCTCCTTTGTACTGGGGATCTCCCTTTCTGCTGAGTCTAGACTACAATTCTCTGTACTGAGATACCACTTTCTTGATGAATTTTACTGTTAAGCATTCACCTTGTTCAGAGATTTGTTTTCCCTGGTAAACATCTTTCTGAGTGTTCTTTAGAACATGAAGTAGCACAATCAAGAAACTAACAGGTTCTTCTTAAAAGTTGCTGTATCAATAAAATAGCCATTAAAAAACTTTTCTTCTTCTCTCATGCATAGTGTACTTCCTTGAAGTTGTTTGGAAAAATAAAAACTTAAAATGGATTGTGGGTATGTTTGGCTGAGCTCTGGTTGACTTGGGCCTTTGGACTGTTAGTATGACTTTCTCTGCAGGAAATTTTGATATTATAACTCACTTGAAATATCAGTTAATAATTGGGTTGGAATACCTGGCAATGCTGTTTTTCCAAATTGCAACTCAGGTTTTTCACATGAGCCACGAGTGTATAATCACATCTGCTGCATAAATACTTTTTTCCTTCTTTGCATAACTCTTTTAACCATTGCAAAAGAAATGGACCTTTACAATTATCTCCAAAGCTAGTATTTAGTTTTCCAAGTGTGACATCTCATTTGGAATTTGTATTTGTATTTTTATTACAAAAATACAGTGCAGAAAGACACAGGGTTGGAATGTGTGTTAATCTACAGAGAAACTGAGCTTGTCTATTGAGTTAACTGCTCTAAAAGTAAACATCAAGTATACTCAGAACTGCTCCTTAATTGATAATGATCCTGTTAAAAAATAAATATATGAGCAATTAGAGGATGCACAATTACTAGAATTTACAGAATTCTCTTCAATCTTGCTGTATTTAAGAGTAATTTATGTAATTTAATAGTATGTAATCTGCACTAAATAAAGAGCTGGGGCATATTTTCCAGCTGTGCTATGTTTCCTACTTTGAACCATTTCATAATTATTAGTAAAAATGATTAATCTGTCCTTTTCAGAATGAGTACACAGACGAAATCCCATTATTGTGTGTAGGTAGATAACATACATGCTTTTCTTGCCAGTTGCTGCATAGATTTATACATTTTACACAATTTTCTGCTTATTAGTAAATGCTGGTGAAGAACTTTGCATTAAGAATGCAGTATCTTGCTTTTGGCAGCAGTTCTTTTAACATACTTGTGTTAGGTTTTTCCTCACATGGAAGTTTGAGACATCTGAATGCAAATGTGGAATAATGTTGAATTTTTCAACTAATCCTTGTGTGAGATTTTATTCTCCCCTAAATACCATATTTAAGAAATATTCCTTCTGCATTTTCAAATTAAACCCATAGTTGTCTCCTTTCTAACCTATATATACAGTGGCTATTTTCATTTACATGTTGGCTTAATTCTGAAAATGGAGCAAAGTGCAGATCCTTTTGGATCCAGTAAAACGTACCTGGTTTTGATCTCTGAAGTTGCTTGTTAGTCATAAAATTATTTATGATTTGAAGAGCAGTGGGCAGGTTAAGGGGAAAACCTGGTTTCTCCTAGTTGCAACATCTGTCAGACTCGGAAAACTGCAAGCAGACACCATGCAATAATCTATGCTTCTTTCTGCTGCTTTGTAGCTCACGTTGTGAAAAAGTACACTGAAATATTCCTCCATAGCCAAGATTGTTGGTTTAATAGATTTTCGTCACGGCTGCTTGTCATGACAAAGTCCACACGTTCAAACTGCAGTATAGCAGTCTCCTGAAGCGATACACTTTGGAAGGATAAGTTCTGCTATTCTTCAACCTCTTACCCACAGCATAAATATGTAAGATGGGAAGCCCACACTAACCTTGATGAAAAACAAAACCAAAAAAACCTGTTTCATGCTGCTAAGACTGAATTCAGTTGAAGATACACTAGGACTCAGTTTTTTGCTGATAACGCTTGCTCACAGGCTTTGCTGTCATCATAGCATCGCATAATGCTCTGTGGGACAATAATTTGAAAGAAGGAAAAATTATGAGGTTATAAAGCTTTCTATTTTGCACAAATAGAAGAGGGGGAAAGCCATTTCTCATAAGCTTTTCCGAGGACCACAGCTCAGCATTACAAAACTTTATAACATAGCATTCATATTCATTGCTTGAATGAGGAGAATCACTCACATATGTGCACATTATGTTTCTTGGATTTGATGAAAAACTTAGAGGACTAACAATATGTTTTCAAGCTTAACATTCTGTCACACACAGTTTAGATGCCAAGAAATACCCTTTGATTAGCAAACAGTACGCACCAAATGAATTACGTTCCTTCTGCTTATTGAATTAACTTCACAGTGAGGCAGCTGCCTTTATTACATCTGAAAGGCAGTTGTGAAATAACCTTTGGAGGAGTGTAGAGCTGTTCATAATAATTTAGTTTGTTTTCTGATTTGCAGTGAAATTGCTAACTTTATCTCTGACACTAGAGACAAGCATGATATTCTCTTTGTCATCTCTGAGGCTGGATAATAGAGAAAAGGAAGAATAGATACCCTTCAGAGGATGAAAAATTCCTGTAGTACTTTTAAACCTTTCACGAAATAGAGAACAAACATGTATCCATCTGATTGTCATTTGATTCACAAATTAGTCTCTACAGATAAAGTTTCCTGTAGCTCACATGCGATTAAGTCCTTGCATACCATGCTGAAGCTTCCTCCTTAGCAACCAAAGCAAATAAAAAATATATATAAAAAAAATCCTGCGCATAAAAATGAACGTTTGAAGTGGAGGCAAAGCAGCCATACTATTAAAGTGTTGATAAGTACACTACAGAAGCTGTCTAGAGAAAAACCATCTTTCAGTGCAGTCAGAAGCTAAGCAGGGACAGATTTAGCTAGCAAATAGGTGGCTATTATATGAAAAATCATGCCTGAAGTTGCAGGAAGTGGGATTTTTTCAGCAGGTTACTCAGGATGCCAAGCCATATCTCAACCAGTTGAATTTTCAAGTTTGTATGTTGCTGGAGGAGTAGGATTTGATGATGTTTTGCTCCGAACTTGGTACTGACCGATGCCATTGTTGAAGTATTTTATGTCAAAAAGAAAAACAACAGAAATGGCAACCGTGGCAACTGTATTTTGCTAACTGTCTGGGCATCCTTCATGCCTGAAACCTTGGTATGTGTCTCTATTATGAGCTACAGGAGAGCAGTAAGCTCTGATGAGCTGTTTCGGGTTTAGGCAGCCCCATAGCAGCAATGGTGTGAGTTCTTTAAGTGACGAGAGGCCAGTGTAGACTTGGCCCCTCACTAATGTGTATGGTACAAGCATGCTTGTTCCTCAGTGTGTTTGACTTTGGAGGTGACTGTCTTCTTCCTTCTTTTTTCTTTTTTCTATTCTTTTTGTTCTTTTTAGTTGGTTGGTTTTGACCTCAGAATGCACAAACTATCATTCTGATATACTACAAGGGAATTCAAAAATACTGGGCCATTCAGCGAAATCCTTAGTATTTTTATTCTTCTACAGACTATCCGTAATTACTTTTCTAGTCTTACCATGCAAGAGGCAATTTCGGTGTTTGAACACAGAGCAGCAGAGGAAGACCTTGGTTTCATTTGAGGCATCTATCTGCCACTTCAACAGGCCCACACAGTAAAATTCCGAATGGGCTATGTGTATTTGGTCTGATTTTTCTGGAGGGTGTTTTAGTGGCTTTTCGTCATCAGAGCATCTGTCTGCACAAGGGTTTTAGCATAGGGTTCCCTTGGGAAGTGCTG